CAGTTAAGTGTCCGAAATCAATTGCCTTAAACTAATGATAGTTTAAGTGTCTGATTAATAATTGCCTTTTAAGAATGTGATTATGGAAATTATGATTTGGCCTTAGACTAAGAATAGCTAAGAGCATTATTATGATCTGGCCTTAGACTAAGAATAGCTAAGAGCGTTGTTATGATCTGGCCTTAGATTAAGAATAATTTAAGAGCACTATTGCAATAGTATCTGAATTGAATAAAATGTGTTGATATGAACTGAACGATACCAAAACTGTGAATGTCTAAAATGAACATTGTGTGCATGATATCAAATGATTGATTATGAATTTAGATTCAATTTATATGGATGTTCGACACATTAGATATGCTTACTCAGCTTTACCGCTGAGCGTGTAGTGTGTTTTATTTGCTACACGCAGGTAAGCAGAAAGCATAATGTGATCCTGGCGGCAGATGGGGCGAGATTGTCGGGATGGATGTGACATGTTTTGAAACAATTTATGATATGTCAATATTAAAATCGCTTCCGCAATATTGTTGAATACTCCGTATTGTATATGTATTGAAAAATATTATTGGGATTAATAAAGTGTGTTTGAAAAGTTTTAAATTTTTACGATTACCAAGTTAAATACGTTAGTCCGAATGGGGCTGCACACCTGGACGGATTAGGGTGTTACATAATGGGTAATGATATTCCCGCTCTCACTTCTGTAAAGACGTGGTTGAGCGAGAACTTCTCCATGAAAGACTTAGGGGATGCTAGTTATGTCCTTGGCATAAGAATCCACCGAGATAGATCAAGAAAGTTAATAGGTCTGAATCAAAGTACATATATAAATAAAACCCTTGATCGATTTAGCATGTCTAACTCAAAGAAAGGATCTTTACCTATGACACCTGGCACGGTTCTTTCCAAGAGCCAGAGTCCTTCTACTCCCGAGCAGAAGGAACTCATGATGAAGGTTCCATACGCTTCTGCGATTGGATCCATCATGTACGCCATGATATGTACTAGACCTGATGTCTCATTCGCTTTAAGCGTG